GAGCCAGGCTCACCGGGACACCGATCTGCACGCCGTCGCAGTCCCCTTTGGGCTGGTCGGTGTGCGACACTCCGTCACTGCAGAAGGAGTCGTAGGTGACCTTCAGGGTGTCGGGCAGGGTGCTGTGGCTCAGGACGACTCTGGAGGAGAGTTTCTGCAGGCAGAGGGCGGCGCGCTCAGGGTGGGTCCTGCTGTCCTGCTGTCCTGCTCTCCTGTTCCACTGTCCTTTTGTCCTGCTGTCCTCCTGTCCTGCTGTCCATCCAGTGGTGTGGACTCTGGAGTGCTCCCCAAGGGAGCCATTCAGAGCTGGAGCGGGTGCCTGACTCGCTGGCCCACCTGACTGTAGCTCAGTTCCAGGACCCTAAGCTTCCTGAGGGGTTTGAGTGGGAGGCACCAGGCCACTTGGAGACCCAGATTCCCTCAGCATGGCAGGGCCGTGGCCACCCCGTGTCCCCAGGGTGCAGACCCCGTGGGCGGGTCCGTCAGTCAGGAGTTGGGGTCCTCTCAGGGGCACGGGGATATGAGGGAGCGTGGGGCAGGGCCACAGGTGTCGGGAGGGGCAGCTGTGTCCTGCACACTGGGAAGCCACTCGCAGACTGCTGGAGCTAGGCTAAGTCGCCGGCAGCCGGATGGCTGCTGCTCTGCCCGTGGCTGCTGCTCCTCCAGGACACAGCAGAGTGAGGTGGCTGCGTAGGAAACTGCAGCCTGCAGTGTGGACAGAGCCTGTCCTTGAGGACGGCAGGCAGGACAGTGGGGCCGGGTGGGGGTCGGGAGCAGGGCCCTCAGCTGGAGTGAACATCCTGGCCTCATGCTCACTTTCTGAAGTCAATATAGTTTAGCCACCAAGACTGCGGTCCCAAAGGAGCAATAAACAAAGTGTTTAAGAGCTTCCAGAGTTAAGGTTGATTGGACCAAAGAAATCTATTACTTTATGGTTATAAAAATTAGCATAGTTTCCACTTTATAAAAATGTATATTTATAGGGTTTCTTCTGGCCAGGTTTACAAAAGGCTTAGCTTAATCTAAGCCCTTAGAGCTTGGGTTTTTATAAATTCCATCGCAGAGTGACTTTACTCTTATTCTCGTAAAGGCTTTAGTTTCCTTTCCCTATTGAATGAAATGATGGGCCAGGTCCTAAGTCCTGAGAAGAGCCTGGACTTTTTTTCTGTCTGATTGGGTTCCTTTGTTGAGTGCCTTCTCTCTCTCTACATCTTTTCCTGCAAAATACAGATTTTGAGCCCTAAAATAAGATTGAGCCCCCAGAAAGTCAGAATCTGTGTCTCTTTACGAAGTGCCTTGGTATTCTAGTGATCATAGGGTGCAGCAAATGAGGCCGTTTAGAGCTCCTTATCGATATAAAGGCTAAATAAACATAAAGCAAGTGAGAAGCAGGGGACAGAAAGGTGCGGACACTGAGTGCCCCAGGGTGTGGAGGAGGCCCCAGGAATCACCGCACAGCACTGGGTCCCGTGAAGATGGCACAGGCAGCACAGGCAGAGCATCTCACGCACGTTGTGCCCACACAGGCACACACCCCACTGTGGGCCAGCCTTGGGGGATTCGTCCCTCCCTGGCATGTGGCTTGTCCTCCCGTGCCCAGGGCTGTTCCCTCCGGGTGTCTGTGGTCCTGGTGGACACAGGGGTGCAGTGGGCTCAGTGTCCACCCTCCGGGACCATCCAGTCTGCCCATCGCCTGCTCTTCCTCCTCGGCTCCTGGCGTTTGTGGCCCACCCTCCTTTTGCTGGTCCCGGACGGTGCTGCTCTGAAGTCCTCTGGATGTCACCCTGTGGCATATGACGTGTGTCCCCGGGTGCCACATGCTCAGCTGTGCCCAGGTGTTCCCTGGACATGTTGCCTGCAGTTTGCATTCTGATCCTAGTCTCGTCCACTCTCCTTCGCTTCCCCAAACACTTCGGGGAAGGCTGCAGCCCTGGGGTGGATCGCGGTTGTCTCCCTCAGGTGTGTGTGTGCAATAAAGCATCAGGTGCAGCACTTTTGATCCCCTTCCACATCTCCAAACGCCATCTCTCCCCCAAGCTTCCTTCAGGACCCCAGGCAAAGGCAGACTCTCTTACTCCCTCCAGTCCAGATGCCAAAAGCAAAACAGAACACTGCAGCGGGAAGGGCGGGGATTAGGTGGAACACGACACCTGGCACGGACTGACGGTCACAGGGCCAGGTGCGGGTGTGACCTGGGGAACGGGATGGTCACAGGGCTCGGAGCGTGTGACTTCAGGCAGCACATACATTACAACCGGAAGCTCCCCTCTGGGGGGGAGGTCTGGATGTCAGCAGAGACTTCGATCAGCATTGGCATCACCAGAGAAACTGACCCACGGGCTGTGGGCTCTGACACCAGTAAAGGCTGCTGTTGAATATTTACATCCCGCGCTCCCTCTGCATCTCACGATGAGGACACAGGGTGTTCACCCTGCATGGGACAACATGGTCATAATCAGGGAAATCCGGGTTGCAGGACGTCTACAAAACAGCCAGCTACACTCTGCAGCACTTAAGAACCAAGGAAGGCAGGAAACGGGGCACGGATTGGCCCAGGTGACAGACCGAGGGGTATGGCGATCACAGGGATGGTGTGATACTTGGTAGGGCCTTGGGTAACTGGGGCATTTGGATGGAGACTGCATGCATTTCACAGTACCCTTAATTATCAGTTGCTGCTAGGTTTCCTGGTGCGATGAATTCAGGTTGTATAGGAAAATGTCCTTTCCTCAGAAGAAACCTCTGGGGTGGAGTACTCTGGTGACTGCAGCTTCCTTTCTGTCGACTCAGCAGTTGAGCAGGAGCTGGGAGGGAGGAGGAGTCGCGGTCAGCACATCCAGCGGAGCCTTCACAGGTGCCACTGCAGCCTTTGGCTTTTTCTGTGGGTTCGAAGTGTCTCAGGCTTCGTAGAGAAGCGAACCCACATACGGACACACCCATCGAAGCTGTCGGGCCAGTGTTCGTCTTGCACTTGAGGTGTCTGTGGCTGTCTTGCTGTCGGATTTGTGGGACTCGGGCTTCCTAGGGTGAGGCCAGAGCTCCCCCAGCCAAGGCACACACAGGGCTGTGCATGCAGCAGGCACACGCAGACAAGGGCTGAGTCCTGATGGTTTGCTCAGTGCAGGGAGGAGTGCGCTTTTCCTCCTCCCCTCCTGGGGTGGTAAAGTGTCCACTTCCTACTGGATGCAGTCAGCGTCTTTAACCTTCACAGGCCCCAAAAACTTTGGGGATCCTTTCATTGCACAGGCCCTGCCTTTGGGTGCTGATCTTTTTTTTCTCCTCACTGAGTTTATTGGTACATTCTAGGTATACAGTACAGTTACACTCATCATTGGGATCTTGTACCTTTACATGACAGGTCTTGGTTCTCATTTTTTCCCCTTGTCCCTGCCCTCCCTTCACCCCCTCCACCCCCTTTACAAACACTTCATTTCCATTTTTTCATTTTCTCATATTTTTTTCTTTTCCCTTATTACTTTTCCCCCACCCTTCCCACTTTCCCTACACCTTTAGCCCTTTTCTTCCTATTTCACATTGTCAATTATCTCATTAGGATCTTATGTATTATAGTTTTTCACACCAGAGAAACTATTCGGCATTTATCCACGTGTGACTTATTTATTTCACTTAGGAGTACATCCTCAATCTGTATCCATTTTCCTATGAATTAATGTAATTTCTCATTGGGTGCTGATCTTAATCCTGAAGGCCTGGCCTTCGCCCACACCGGAAGGGGGGAATTTTTCTTCTTTGCATCTTGTGAGAGGGCTTCCCCAGTCAGTCGGGTAAGTGCACTAAGAGGTGTTTGTAACAGAAACGGAGATGTATGAAGCTCCAGTGGATAAAGTTAAAGACCCAGGATATGGATGAGAAGAAACGCATGTGTGAGTGAGAACCATCAAAGTTGTAGGAATTGTATATTAATT